GCATGTATTCTCACATATTGAGTCAACAACAGAGAATGGGCTTAGGTCGAGTGAGATAAAGTACACCCTCGCTTAAGTATCCATTCAACATATACAAATCACATCGACGATTTATCATATAAACCAACCCAATAACTCACTCAAAATAGTTAGCACGCAAATCACGGCACTTTATACGGGTCCACCGACTCTGTCCGGTTCGTCACTGCCTGTGACAGAAGATTTTACTCAACCATCAGTCAAACAACCATCACAAATGGAAATAAGGACTAAAACGGTCAAAATGGCAAAAAGGGCCAAGAATTGCATGTGCGCGTGCGCGGAAATGAAAATGGTATGAAAATAGGTTGCGCGGTTTTGACCATAACCAGAGCTGTGGTTATCGGATCAAGGTGTACTAGGTAGCGTCTCGAAGCTGAGACAAAGGGTTACAACTTTCATGAAGACAACTAAACCCAGTTTTTAGTGGATCTAGGTCAAATTTGCAAATTACAGAACCAGAATTCCAAAGGCTGGTTTATACCTCTTGTGAAAATTTGGGTGGCATGCCCCTTGTGTTTACGTATTTTCCAGCCATTTATGACTTCAATATTTTCCTCAAATCAGTCCCAAATTTACAAATATGCAATGGTAACACAATAGCCCTTCAACTAGGCTCAAAATAATCCAATTACAACACAGGTCTTAACACGGCAACCAGAAATCAAGTTTAAAGACGAATAGCCAAATGGCAGATTTGACGTTTCTTAGCGTATCGGTCACAACCGAAGCTACGCTTATCGGATTGGGGTACAACTTATACCATTTCGAAGCTAAGATGGAGAAATACAAGTCTCATGAAGACATCAACAGAAAATTCGTTCATTTCCAAGGTCAAATTTATCGATTATAGAACCAGAATTCCACCGTCAGGCTGGTTAACAGCACTGTGTTCAAATGACAATAACTCAGGCTACAAAAGTCTGATCGAGGCGTTTTCAGATGCGTTGGAAAATAAAACATAGCATTACAGCTTTCATGTTTTGGCTAAATGCTAATTCAATACGGATCAAGGTGAAAAACCCCGGCCAGATTGATGAAATGTCAAAACCGTCCACAGAACTCTACCTATGGCAGTCGAGGGTATTTTTGTCATTTCATGAGGTACAATGCTCGGATTAAGCTGAACTTTTGTAGGAGGATATAAACCATTATTTCCTACAACTTTCATGTTTGGAACTAAGTCTAATTCGGCCTTCATCATGCCCAAATGGAACTGGTCAGAACAGGGTAGCATGAAAACTCAAATCTGGAATCTAGTGACTTCAAAGTGTAAACTTCACATTTCTAGCTTAAACCACTACTATAACTTCCTGTACAAGATTATATACACCATATACCATCCAAAACAAGAAATATAATTGAACAATTCAAAACCCTAACTCACAATTTCATCACCACAATCATCAAAACCACTTAAATTAGGTATCACAAGGCAAGAATACAAGTTGCTCCATAACTTAAACAAGACCAAGGGAAAGGGAGAAGATGGACAGCCATAATACCTTAATAAAAGGCTTGTAAAAGATATCCTTCACCTCTCCTTGTAAAATTTTAGCTCCCCAAGCTTCCTAAATTCTCCAATTAGGAGTTAATCGGTTTAGTTTACTTGATTTCTCACTCAAACAAGCTAAGCTCAAGATGAAATGGAGTTTTCTTCTCTTGCTCTCTCTCTCCTTGAGGTTCGGCCAAGCTGATGGAATGGAGGAGAAAATGAAGCTTCAAGAAGGTTAATAAGATGGTAATTAGTTTGGGTCAAAGTTAGGTGGATGACCGCCAAGTGTCACCACAAGATTCAATCTCAATTTTTTTCTTTTTCCTCCCTTTTCTTGGTCAATATTTTCGGCCATCTTGAGCTGGATTAAGGGCTAATATTTTGCACTAATATCAATGATATTTGATGGTAAGAAAGTGGTGGTCAAGTGGTGTGTTCAATCGGTAACAAACGGCACCCGTCGGTTCAACCCGATCTTCCTTATTTCGCACGTACTAGGGTTTTTCACTTATAATTCACCAACTTATTATTATTACTTCTAATCATACACTTTTTCTTATCTAAAACTCACTCTTAATCACCAAATTTTGTACACACACCTCACCAATTGATCACACCACCAAAATACACCAAAGACACACCAAAAACCCTAATATGCACAAAAACCCTAACTAATACCCTTCATTTAGAAAAATCATAACTTGAGTTATAATTATCAAAAATTCTTACAACTTGGCCTGTTAAAACCTATATTTCAAATACTAATTATCTTTAGAAGACACCTCAAAGAGATTCAACTCATAAGTTGGTCCAAACTGAGCCATAAGCTATTACAACTTTCCTATGTTTACTTGTGCAGGGCAGAATTTTCAGTCAAATTTGCCAATTTTATAGAATTTATAGAGATTGAATCAAACTCTAAATTTTACACCGTAGGAAGTTCTATGAGTCTAGTTTCAAACGCAACAAACGGAACTAAATTCCGACTTTCCTATACGAAGCTATAGCCAATTTTCCAAAGCTGCGCAGAGCCTCCTGCGAAAATTTCTAGATTTTCTAACAACTTGAGATTATGAACCTTTTTTTAACAAAATTCACTTCCTTGGCTCAAATTCAACCATTAAAGCAACCAAGAATCAAAGATAAGTGAGTTCACATAAGGATTATAAAGACAAGTTGTGACGCCCCGAAAAAAAATGAGTTTGAGAACCCGGAAATTTTCTAATTTTCTAGGGTTTTATTTATTTAATGGCTTGTTTTCTGCGTTTTCTTTCGTTGGGAAATTTTCTAGATATTTTTAATGAGCAGATATAGTTTTTGGATGATTTTTCTAGTATCAAATAGGTTTTGAGAAATTAAGAGTGTATTCCGGATGTGGGACCCACTAGAGCGAAAAGTTCGGAAAAATTCGACCAATTAGGTTAAGTTCCGGATACTGGGTGAACGTTTTGGTATACTCGAGTATTACCTTGTAGGTTGGTGGAGGTTGGTGGAGCCTGGTGAATGAATGAATGAACGAATGAATGAATGAGGGTTTTATTTATATACAAATGCATTTTCAAATGATTGAAGGTATAAGGGAACGAAAGGAGAATGAATGAACGAATGAATGAACGAATGGTTCCTTGTGAGCACGTATCCTTTTAATGAATGTGTTTATCGTTTTCTTTTGTATTTGTATCTTGAATTATTGGTTTCATGTAATGAATGCAATGCACTTCTTGTTTGCCTACGTGTTCGGAACCTCACTGAGCTTATAGCTCATCCCGTTAGTTTTGTTTTCCTTAACAGGGGAAGGCGAGCAAGGACGAGAGCCGGTATAGACTAGCTGGGTCTAGCCCTTGGTTTTCTTTTGTAATGGTTCTCGCCCTAGTGCTTGGCACGGGCTGGTTGTATGGTGATTTGAGAACCTCTGTATATTTGACGGTTGTACTTCTTCTTGAGATATTATTGTATATACGTTTTGTTTTAAGTTTGATCGTGGTTAGATATTCTTATGGTGGCTTGAAGTGATCGACTGAGTCCCGGCGAGAGCTGGGCAGGCAGTCCGCCGAACCCTTTGGTTCACCTTAGGGGAAAGTGGGGCTGTCACACAAGTAATTTTTCAGGGTCTCACAGATTTGACCATATGAGTTGCTTAAAAGTGAAATTGAGTTGAGAGGAGGAAATGAGTTGAACAAATCTTAATTTTTGATATAATTATCTCTCTTTTATTTGGTATGATAAGTATTTGTGGTGGAATGAATGGTTGTATAATGGTGTTTTACCTTGTTATTAAGAAAATAAATTTGAAAGATACATGAGCACAAAGGGATATATTTGAACTGTTGTGATGGTTTGTAATTCTTAAACTGCTTGAGGACAAGTAATAGTTCAAGTGTGGCGAATTTTTTTTTTTTTCGATCAATATAGGATGACAATATGGTGAAAATGTTTTTTTTTTATAAAAAAACTATTACTCTTTATTTGCTACAAAAGCGGAAGACTGGGATACAATGAGTGTGGGAGAAAACACACTACTACAGACGAATATGGTGAAACCGGAGATAAGGAGTTTGGAGTCTGTCCAAATGGAGGGCAGCACGGGCCCTAGGCAGCAGAGACACCTCAAAAGAGAAAACCGCATCTGATGGGAGATTCAACGAGGCCAACGCATCTGCCACCGAGTTTGCCTCACGAAAAATGTGGGCCACAGATGCTCCCAGGGCCGTTACCCGTTCTCTAATTTGCCGAAGAGAGTTACATAAGGGCCAACGTGAGGAATCGACAGACGAGACCAAGCTAACCAGCACTCTGGAATCCACCTCCGCCGCACAATTTCGAAGGTTCCTTTGGTGGCAAAGCTGCAAACCTTCCAACAACGCCAATGCCTCTACCGTAAGAACATCCTAGTCCCCAAACTTTTTGTAAAACGCGAATATTAGATCCCCCTCCGGCGATCGAAGAACCCCTCGACCAGAGGCACCGATGGGAGAGACACTGGCATCCGTATTCAGCTTATAACCGCCCCGTGGAGGCTTAACCCAAGTGACCACCGAGGTTGAGGCATCCACCTTGTCACCTGGACACTCTTTGCCCATACACAATTCGCATTGCCTTTAAAATATTGTGGCTACAAGAGGTGACTCACACTCATTTGGACAATAAAGTTGCAGACCTGAGAGATGATTTGGTTCGCCGACAGGGCTGAACCCTCATATCGAGCATGATTTCAATCCCTCCAAATAAACCACAGTGTCAAAAATGGAATAATAACCCGAATATGATTCCGCACTACAAAGCGATGTGAGAAGAACCACGAAGACAACTTAGCAGCGACCCCATTCGCCCGATCCAGGATTCCAAACAAATTATCAAAGAACTGCCACACCTCTGAAGCCACTGGCCCTAATACGAATAGGTGGTTACTCGTCTCCACTTCATTCCCACAGCAACAACACCGGGAAGTTAGCACCACTCCCTTGTGCTAGAGGTGACGATCCAGAGGCACCCATCTGTGTAACAAACGCCATGTGAAAAAGGAAACCTTGAGTGGAACCACTGAGCTCCAGATCAATGTGTAGACAGAGAATAGTGCCCTTTTACAACGCACATGGGCCCATGATGACGCTACCGAAAACTTGCCCATCGAAGAAACACCCCACACCATCATATCTTTGAGACCAGGGAAAATCCTGAGCTTTAGAATTTGTGCCACAATGTGGCCAGGAAGGAGCTGCCGAAGACGGTGCTTGTCCCAATCACTAGTTCTATAGAACTCTTCTACGAGCATATGGGGACGGGCCGAGCCTGGAACCAAAGCAGCCAGAGGGACATCCGTGCACCACCTATCATGCCAAAAATCGACGAGTCCCTCGCCTAGGGACCACCTAATATTCCCCTCAGCCAGATCCCGGATTTTCGCTAAGCGGTGCCATATGGCAGATGGACAGTCTACAGCCACCAGAGAAGGATGGTTGCTTTTGATATATTTACTATGCATATATGTCGCCCAAATTGTCTTGTTCTCCCTCAGGTACCACCATAATTTACACGAAAAAACGTCGACCACAACTTCAAATGAGCAGAATCCCAATCCTGCCTCCCCCACCGGGTAACATACCTTCTCCCAAGCAGTCCAGTGAATCCGTCTCGTCTCAATGGAGTTATCGCAGAGAAAGGCGTTGCAGATTTTACCCAACGATGCAACCACAGCTCTTGGCGGGGAAAGGACCTGTAACCAATAGATGGGGAGAGAGCACGGGACATGATGTTTAAGGAATATTTTACCGCCCATTGACAGCATCTTCGAGCTCCAATGAAATAAACTGTGCCGCATCTTAGACAATAGTCCATCAAACAAAGCACAAGTTGCCCTGCCTCTGAACAAAAGTACTCCCAAATAAGTAAAGGGTAATTTTTGTTCCCTGAACCCAAGAATTGACCGAACCAGACTGCAGTGAGCTTCCGTCATTTTTTATGACGGAGAAAAATAACTCTTGCCCACATTTACCTGCTACCCAGAGCAGGATTGATAGAGGTGCAAGAAATCTCTAATCGATGTCAAGGCATCAACTGAGCACCTGGAGAAGATAATCATGTCATCCGTAAAGGTGACATACAGGACGCTCGAGCCGGAAGACACATAAAATCGACTACTCGTATCTGTGCATAGTTGCTGTAACCCCTTCCCAAGAAACTCGGCCACGAACAAAACAATTCTGGGGATAGAGGATCGCCTTGTCTTACCCCTTGAGTAGACTTGAAGAATCCTGAAGGTTTCCCATTGATCAAGATCGAGAACCATGAATGGAGAACTTTTTAAACAGCAAATCAACCACCTGTTCATCGAACACAAACTGCCTAAGCATGAGCATCAAGAATGACTAATCCACCCTGTCATATGCCTTCTCCATATCCAATGTTAGAACCAAATTCGGGTCAGCCAGCCTCTTATCCAAATCAAGGATTAGTTCTTGCGCCAATAAGATGTTATCAGAGATCCTGCGCCCCATAACGAAACCAGTTTGCCAAGGCGAAATCAGATCCAAGAGAAGCCTATTCAACCGGTTATCTAAAATCTTAGAAATAATTTTTCAGCTAATATTGCACAGGCTAATCTTGCTAATCTGTGCAATGTTAGCTAAAACCGCCAAAGATCGCTGGTCACCGCATCTATCCTTAGGGGACGCCCCAAAGTCGACGAAAGTTTCTGCAATTGGTTTCTTTGGAAGAACGGGATGGGCAGACCTGAGAAGCTTACCCAAACCAGAGCTATGGAAATCTCTTGATCCGTCCTGAAGTCTATACTCGACTTCGAGATCGACATTAGCGAGTTGTGCACATACCAAACCCTACGCGAAAACAATCTGGTGTAGTCTTCTTCCACTAGAGGCTGAATCAACACGTCCTTCTCATTAATAAGGCCAACTGAGTAGTCCCCCTTTAGCCCCTGCTTCATAAAAAACTTTCTGATTGTCTCCATGGAGGGTCTGTTAGAGCTGAAGCGACCAACCAGGGCATTCTGAAAAGGTTCGGTTAGGCATTCAATCTCCTGTCAGGATAGACGAAAGGCAGGTTCACCTCTAAAGGTGGAGACAACACCCAACGAGAGCCCACTCTCTCCAGCCGAATGGCCAACTATAGCTGCAAAGGACGTCCCTGGTGGTGCACACGACAGGCCGCCACCATCAGGAGACTTTTCCGACGGCCCCGAGGCCACCATGGAGGTGACAGGCAGCAGAAGGTAATGGAAAACCCTAGCTCCCAAACCCTAGACTATTGTCGAAAATCCTCCTTTCAAGTTGCATAAAGTCATGTGTCAGTGAAAATGCTTGCTTCTTTCTGTGGGGAAGTTTGATTAGCCTTTATTTTACCTATTTTTAGTTAGGTTTAAGGTTAAGTTTTTGGTGTTTTAAGTTAAAAAGGAAGAATTGAATTCATTTATAAGTTACTTTTCATGCAAGTAGTGTTACTTAACCAAAACATGCAAAAGTGTGGATTAATATACAAATTTATGTTGTTTTTGTAGGTTTTGGTACCTTATGAAAACTTTCAAGTCAAAAAGAGTTTGATAGTTTTGATACATTCTGGTATTTTGGCTATATCTTGAGTTACGAGTATCCAATTGAGGTGATTCTTGGGCCATTTTGAAGATAAGACATAGATCTACAATTCTTATGAGATATCAAAATCCATTTCATTGATTTTCCTAGTCAAAAAGTCAAAATGCAGTCAGAAAAATTTCTATCAAAAGCTGAAATAGAGCATTTATTAGTTAGGGTTATTTTGATCTTTTCTTAGCCTATAGAGATCCAAATGAGGTGATTCTTGATGCATAGGAAAGCTAACTATAAGATCTACAACTTTCATGTTTTGTACAAGAGTTAATTCAGCTTCTATCATAAAGAACATTGCATTTGGCATTAGACAAAAAACAGAACAAAGTTGAGTTTTGAGCTAAATGTGCAGAGCTGAAGACAAAGAAGATCTGTGAGGTGATCCGCGAGGTAGCAGGTCATAGATCTATCTCATGGATCCCTGAGATAGAGCTACAAGTTGTAGAAGTTACGAACAACATTCTTTACAACTTGCAGAAGTTACAACTTGCATTCATTTTTCATTGCTTTTTGGACCAATTTTTCTGATAGAATTTAGCTGGAACTAGCTAAACTTGATTTGGAAAAGTTACGAACAACATTTTGACCATATGATGAGTACATTTTCTTGTTCAAAAATATCTATGAATACCTCTTGTATCTCATTCATTTGAAGCATTCTTTACATCTTATAGCAACTTGTAGTTAGAAGTAGAGTAGAATAGAAGTAGAAATAAAAGTAGTTTTAACTCTACTTTCATATTATAAGTTTCAAAGTTAGTTTAAGAGTTATGAGAGGAAGGTGAGAAACATTCTTGTATCAAGCTTGTTTGAGAGATCAACTTGTGAAAGAATTCAAGAAGTCAAGCTTTCAAGACATTAAATAAGAATTTTTCTTGCTAAACTTTGTCTCTTATTTTTATTTACCATACTTTGTTACAAGTTTGTTTCATATTTAGATGTTCTTAATATGATGTTTAACTAAATTTTTTTATATCCTAGGGTGAAGATGAATTTGTTATATTTTGATTTGAAGTAGTTAAGGCATGATTATGTTTTTTCATGATTTGTAAGTTTGAGAACTTATACTTTATAGTTGTTTGGCTATCAACTATGAATAATTTGATAATTGTTGAGTAATGACAGTTACCTTCTAATAGATCTATATTCTTAAACATTAATCTTAATCTCATAAAAGTAGTAAATAAAGGTTGGTTGGATTCATACAATAATTTCATTGAGTTTATTTAACTTGTTTCTTTCCTTTTCTCTATGAACATAGGTAAAGGGATGATTCAAGAAATTAAAGAAATTGGCGAAAGCAATTTCTAGAGGAATTAGCCAAGGCTGTTTTCTGTTAAATGTCTATTGGCGACGGCAAAGACATACATTTGAAAGTTATTCCTTGATAATTCATGGAAGTATAAGCATAATCATCTTAACTAATATCTAATTTTGACATAATAAAGGATTCTAATCTCTAGGATCCTCTCATTTAATCTTTAAAGTAATTCTAATCTAAGTTGTCTTTAAATCTATTTACTTTCTTGCACCATACTGCCTAGATGGCTGGTTTTATATTTATTGCTTTTGCTATATGGCTGATTGTACCGCCTAACTAACTTCTAACTTATATGGCCGGTTATACCGCCTAATCTAATATCTTTCATGGCCAAATTTACCGCCTAATTAACTTTATTTTTACCTCCTTAACTTTAATTGTCTAGATAATAATGTTAGTGATTAAACTAAAGTGATTGTCGTTTTCTATGTTTCTGTGGGATTAATACCTATTATCCATATACTGAATAAATGAATCGTGCATTTGTGGAGATAGGCTAATAAGGTTTTAAAATTTGTAGGATATAAAAAGCCCTATTAGTTCCAATAGAGGTTCAAAAGTGGCCGGGGATTCTTATGAGGACCCGAAAATTGTTTATAAATTTTCTTTTGTTTTTGAAAAATTAATTTATATTTCCTTTTAATTTTATTTTATTTTCTTATTTGCTAGCTTTAATTTGATAGTGATTTTAATGGTTAAGTTAAGATTTTATCTGTGACGCCTGAAAGAAGAAAAAAGGAAAAAATTCTAGTGAATAGTGTTCAGTAGGGATCCAGCCGGAAATCCGGCCAGTTCTTGGCCGGATTCTTGGCTGGATTGTTGGTGGATTTTGAAAAAAAAAAATGTTTCGCCACTGCCCTAAATCCGGCCTGGAATCCGATCAGATTCTGGCCGGATTGTGACGTGGCAATCTGGCCGGATTGTGACGTGGCACTTTCGCAGCCAGGTTTGACTGGCTGTTTTTCCTTCATTCTTATCTTGTTTCTTGGCTGAAATATCTTCCATTCTTGCTCATTCTTGGCCGTGCATCATAGAGAGGAAAAGAGAGAAAAGTTCTTCATTTTCTAGCTTCAATCTTTGCGCAAATCTTGAGTTTTAACTGGTGAAATCACAAACTACTCCGTACAAGTGTACACTAAGGAGAAATAAAGGAGTTGGTGGAGTTGTTTGGAAGGGGGGAAACTCTAAGCTACCATATTTCTTGAGTTATAAGGTAAGTTATCAAGAAATCCTCTCTTTGTTCCTACTAATGTGGAATTAGTAGTTTATAGTGGTTGAATATGCTAATTTATGGCACAGTTCATGAGTTATGGTTGGGCTTGTCCAATTTTCAGATTATTGGTGATTTTTCTATTTTATATGGTATATTATGGTTGGTTATGGAATGATGGTCTTATATTGGCCTAGTTGAGGTTGTCTTGGGCTAATTGTGGGCTGTTGTGGAAAATTTCAGCTTTTAGAGGAAAATTTCAGCTTTAGGGTTTCAAATTTGGGGTTTTCTTATGGTTGGTTATTGAACTCTTAATTGGTTAAGATTTAAGGGTATTGTGGCCTAATTAGGTATGTTTTATAGTCTATGATTTGTATGTGTAATTGTGATTGAATTGAGATGTGATTGGTAATGTATTGTAGGGTGAAAAATAAGGAAATTAAGGGGAAGTGTTGTCCAAATTTTAAGTCTATGTGATTTCTTGGTTTTGGCTTGCTTTGAGTGGAAATGAGTGATTTTGGGGATTATTTCATGATTTTAGGTAGAGTTTGACAAATTTCCGATTTATTAGTGAATTTTTTGATTTTATATGATGATTGTTGGTTGGTCATGGAAAGATAGCTTGATATGGCATCAAATGGAGCCTTTGTGTGTTAATTGTGGTTCTTTGCGGAAAATTCCATATTAGGGTTTCCAATTGTGGTAGTAATTTGTCCTGTTTTTACACTGTATGTTTGACCTTGAGAGAGACTGAATCGGCCCTTGCTCAAAACATGAAAGTTGTAGATATATGAGTTAGCTAGCTACTTACAAAATTTCAGATC